ATACATACTGGTTTTGATTCCAAACAGGCAACAGTTTTCGCTGTTGATTATAAGGTTAGGCAACGTTTATATAGCCCTACGGGTGTTGCAATAGGCGGCGGTTAGGACTTAAAATCAGGTGATCCGCCAGCTGACTTGCCACTCTCACATAAAAAAACAACTTTCTTTCTGAAAACTGAAAATGTTTCATTTATAATTAATACAGCGAGTTATGAATTCTCTCGGTCTGTAACAATATTTGCATGCGTAGTTTTTAATTTCACTCCGACTGGTATTTGGAATGCCACCAGCAACTGAGCGAACCGTCACTCATTTTAAATGGAAATCCATTATAATTATATAAATATGAACATACATTGTTCTATTTTTTTTTATAAGCCGTCTGTAATTACACAGTTGTTCATATTACGAGAGAAATTATTAACATAATTACATAGACAAGTTGTGTATTAAAATGTGACGATATGTTAAAATATTTAAAGCTCTCACATTTTTTTACCTATGTTGAAGTGTACGTTATTCTATCCATATATCAGTTACACCTTGATAAGTTGCTCATCTAAACCAAACGTTTCCGGTGGCAAGCCTTTGTACATAAGGAATCCGAAAACCTGTAACTTATTGAGGGGCTGGGATAAGACCCATACGTTGCAAATTCCTGCCACTCGGCATTAAGCCCATACGATTGACCAAAGTGCACAATTATATTTACAAGCTACTATCTCACTTTACTTATACTTAATAATTTAATACTAATTAGCAAAGGATATTACCGACATCTTTATTTGTATCATTCGTAAATTTATAATTTTTACATTTAAAGTGAACTTAAAGTAGGTTTTAGTAAAAACAAAATTGGTAACGTATTACTTATAAAATGGAAGGGACGTAGTTATCTCTGTTTACCGATGTCAGGACGCTGTCCGTACACGAATTGGGGTATTCGTTAATCATTAACTAAAAATTATATTGCCGATTCTAAGTTTACCCTATTTATCTGATGTACTTATTTCAAATGTAGTACATCACTCGTACTCGGTAAAATATCTATATATATATATATATATATATATATGTAATACAATACTTACATCTTCGTGACTGTGACGGATGTATTTACGTCAATAACGAATTACATAATATATTGCGTTAAATACACAGTTTTAAATCAGTGGTATTTTTGCACTGAAAGAAATCTGAGTAATGAAATTTATAAAAGTTCGTCTAAATGATGATTAAGCACGTTCACAGTGGAGTATATCGTGAGTACAAGCACAGTCAAAAAACTAGAGATTGAACATGGACCTCAAACTCCAAGCAACAAGACCGCCATGGAAAGTATGTCTATGCCCTAATATGACCTCCTTTATTACGCTTTTTCCCATGGGTTAAAAGGGCTGATACAATAAGAGTATGCTTCGATATAAAGTTACTTCTAACGCAAGTAACAATCAACATTCAGAGCATGTAAAAGACCATAAAACTGGCTTAATACATAATTTGCTACTTGATTCTACTCAGTAAATTACTCAGTTCATTAATTAAAAGTTAATCGATGATTTTCCAAGTAAGCAGAGCTTCACAGCAATTTGTGAATTCAAATCTAGTCCGGGTACGTGTGCTACAAACCGACCTCATCAGCATTTGCATCTGATGGATTAGCTTGCAATAAGTTTAGAAGCATTTCTAAAATCAACAGAAATGTATTCTGTAATCGGATGCTAGTTCCTATTGAGAAAACATAGTTTTGAATGTTTTACGCACAATTAGAAAGCCCCTAAAACTCATATTTGTTGTTTTAGTATATGCCGGTGACTACATCCACGTGAATATGTTTAATTAGTTGAAATAAAGATTTAATTTTCATATATAAAAATGAATTCGTATTTCCCTTGGTCACGCCATCACGCGTGAACGGCTGGACCGTTTTCACTTTTTTTTTGTTGTGTTTGTTATTATCAGGAGAAGGTTCTTATGAAAGAAAAAAAATTAAAAAAATTGCCTGAAAAAGTCTAAAACCACACTTTTCTATATTCCCGTACAAAAGATTCGTAATAATACTTAAAAGTCAATTTGAACTTTAATACCATACCATAAAGTTTAAGTGTTAGTGGAGGGGTTCCAGGAAGGCAAAACAAGTGAGTGACTGTGGAATAATGTCACTTGAAATGTAAAGTCTCTCTTTGCTGTGCATCACTACATAGTATAAAACAAAGTCGTCCCGCTGTCTGTCTGTCCCTATGTATGATTAGACCTTTAAAACTACACAACGGATCTTGATGGGTTTTTTTTACTAGATAGAGTGATTCAAGAGGAAGGTTCATATGTATAATAAATTGCACCCGTGCGAAGCCGGGGAGGGTCATTAGTTAATAATAAATATGCATTCTTTTGAATCTAGGATCGCTCCTTGATAACCCAATATGAAATATACAAGAAAATTTAACTCTTGTTTAGTGAAATTTTTTTTGAGTTAAACACAAATTCAATTTCAAACGGACAACCACCATATATAAAATAGTCGATTTCATATAAATTTTTGGTATTTATTTTGAAATACATATAGCCAATCACTTAATTTTAGTGTATAGAAGAGATAGATAATAAATTTATACAATATACTAAAACATGTAGAAAAAGTACGAAAAGATTGTCGCCGCTGTGGCAATCGAACCCACGTCTTCGGCATTCACGGCCTGACGCTTTAGCCACTGAGCTTAACGGCTGATGGCCACAGCGACGAAAATCTTAACGCCTTTTTTCTACATTGTTATTTAGCATTTGAAGCAATGTTTGGCGCATCTATTGTTATATCCTTTCCAGCATACAAACAATTTTAAACAATCTTTTCGTACTTTTTCTACATGTTTTAATGTTCAATCTTAAGTGCAGAGATTAGCACTATAAAAAACTTTAAAATTTATACAATATACTCCAAATACATGTACTTTATACGTATAATATAAATAAGCATATTATGAAATTATATACATAGGAAATCACAAATCACTGTTATAAAAAAATATTATGATGTTAAATATGCACAGACTAAACGATAAACGGATTGAAATATTATTCAATGAATAATTTAACTCGCATTCTTAATTCGAATAGTTTCAATGCAATTTGAAAATCCTCTACGTGGCACTCCAAGTGCTGCTAAAATAAATGTTCTGTCAGAGAGAAAAACGAGCGGTACGTACCCAGTTACCCTCACCCACGGCCTCGGCACTATTTCATTTCAACAAAATCAACCCTAAATTAGAGACAAAAACCCATTAAATGACTCTCACTTTCTGTACAAACTTCGCAGACCAATTAATGAGTCAAACATCTGTACATTCATGCAAAGTTGCCCATCAGTATGTAATTTTATCTAGATAATTACAGTGTACTCAACCTATTCTTTATTATTATTATAAACACGTCTATATTTCAAATAAATATAATAGAAAGTTTATTTTTTTTTATTTGTTAGATTAGGCTAATAGATTTAGAGATTTAAGCTGGTCTAGCCCATTTATGAAATATCACCATTGGCTTTCACCGAATAAGCAAGCTTATCCGAGGAAGTGCGGCTTGAACTGGAAGTACTAAAGTTTAGTAAAGCATGTGCAACTCCACTAGTGTTATAATTGACCATAAGCCTCGTTAATTACTTTCATCAAATGAACCATCAGCTCGTTTTCAACGTTATTAACTTTATTTATTCTTAATTCACATAAAGTACAAAGGCGGACTTAATGCCATAGGCATAGATAATGCCCAGTCAACCTTAGGGTGGTACAGAGACACCTTCTCACATAAAAAATATTCAAGTAATTAATATAAGTAACTTATATCCATAGGTGTATAAAGTGTCATAAATTTTAAGCAAAACAATAACACCTAAAAGATAACTATGTCCTACCAAATGCCATATTTTTTTAATTATAAACGTATTGTGACTTTCTTACTGGACCCAGTCAGATAATAGCTACCGATCGAGCCGAGGTCCGGCCCTCTCGGGCACCCTCGAACCGGAATGCTAAACGCGTTTTGAACGACAGCCCAAGCCGAGGTCCCCTCTCGGGGACCCTTGAGCCTGATCACTCCATGGAGCGCCCGCCAAAGCGCCCTAAGAGCTTGGCGGCCTCCCTAACCAGTGATAATAATAGCGTGACGGCCCGAGATGAGACTCCCCCGGGAGCCCTCGAGCTTAGTCACCATAACGCGTAATAATAATTCGCCGAGGTTCAGGCTAGGCGCCTCGTGCGCCAGGCCACCTCAAGCCCGTCGGAGCTGTAAAGGCCCCTAAGACCAACAGTGGCTCATCCAGCCCAAAAAAAACTGGAAAAACTTACTGGATATATAAAACATCGCCATTTAAATAAATCATTAATAAGCATCTTTAAAACAGCCCCAACGAATATCAAACCAACCATCATTAACCAAACGAGACTTTTAGGAATATCTCATTTAAATCAATATTTTCACCGTTAGAGTCGTGATAGCTCAGTGTCCGGGCGCTCGCCTTTAATTCAATATACTCGAGCAACCTGAGTTCGATCCCCGGTGCCGGCATCGGTGAAGTTTTTAACGTTAAGTGCTGGCTTATCACGTGCTCCGCGGTGAAGGAAAACATCGTGAGGAAACCTGCATATTTTCGAAATAATAACAAAAAAAATATTTTTCAAAGATATGTGAAGTCCGCCAATCCGCAGTGGGGCCGCGTTGTGGACTATGCCCTGATACCCTCTGTATAGAGGAGGCCTTTGCCCAGCAATGGGACATGTATAGGCTGTTACTTTTTCACCGTTAGAATAGGGACTTGCGAAAGGTTTTCCGGTTAATGAGCATATACAAGAAAACTAGAAGCAATGATTTTATGAAAATATCAATAAAAACCACCTTAACTTGTAGTGGGAATGGTTGTAAAGTGTAAACATTACGTAAAAATAAAATTTTTCAAACGTTACCGTGTTTCATAAATAAAAGGGTAAAGCATAATAAATACTTACAATTATTTGTTAATAAAAACCCTGTTGATACGCCCAATAACACGAGGAAAAACAACAGCAGAAGAACTATTAGCGCGGGTCTACAGTAATGTATCCAACAATAATCCTCCGAATTCGCTGGTTGAGCATTCGACCAGAAACAGCATTTGGCGCATTTGGAGTCGGACGCAGGCGTTCCGCGTATCACGGCGCTATTTCCTTGCTGGTTCACAATCACACCTTGGACAGGGGCGTCACTTCGCTGGCCCAATACTCCGCTCTTCTCCGAAAGTCTAGCGAATCCCGAACTTTCATCATCCTGAGGGTTGCCATAAACCCCGTAAGAGGCAACCATGTCGACTCCAGATAGCGATCTCGTGGTTTCATTACCAGCGCCGTCTAACACTACATTATTGTCTGAGCTCGGCCAGCATTCGCATGAGCAGCGGTCTTCTTTCCTTCTCTGTCTCGGCTGCGTCCCATCAGTCCTTCTTACGGGCTGGACATCAGCTTTCTTCTCGTCGTCTTTCTTGACTTTGACTTCCGATGGAACTGTATCGGTATTCGCTTCATAGTTAGGTTGGAGGCTCTTATGATTCTCTATGTACCAATGCCTCTCCTCCGCTCTGAGGGTAGTGTCGTTGTTCCCCTCGTACACATCTGCGTAATTTGAAAGCGGGTGCGAAGTAGGGCTGTAAAGGGGAACCGCCGCAAGTTGCCCATAGCCGCGCTCGTATTGCGGCGGTCGGTTATTGCTTGCATAATACGCGTTTGTTGCTGGCACGCTGTAATCGTAGCCCGGCCGGTTCATCTTTTCTACTAAACCGCTTCATTGGTTTCTACTTCTTTCTAAACAAAGCATTTCCTTTGATACTGTGAATTGGAAATTTAATTTGTACCATGATGCTATAACTATATCATAACTAAAATTATCTTTAAATCGTAATAAATTCTAATGAGAAAACTTTTATCACAAAAAGATGTTTCTTATAGATGGATATAGAAGCGGAAGCTATGTTTGTAGTTGGGGAACTTTGTTGATTTTGTTATTTGTTACACTCAGTTCTAGAAAGTTATACGGTAGAATAAACATATGTTTATCTCCATTACTTCTCTTGTGTTCGACATAGGTATTTATCTTTTGTGTTACAACAAGCACGCGTAGTTCGCTTTTACCGGTTTACAAGTACGTAAACAAAGAAGTAGTGACGTGGGTAAATAAACTCGCCCAACTAAATTTAACCGTACCTATTTCCTTGATTTTGACACGTGCCCGTAGTATCAAGAAATAACAAAACTGTCTCAGAGGTTTAGGATGAAATAATCGCATAAATATTAATTTTAATCTTAAATTTGTTACTTTCATTCTCTCGTGAGTTGTTAACTTTCGTTATTGTATTAAGCATTTAGTAAAAAGGTCTTCGACCTTTATGTTGGATCAATAACCAAGTTAGCTGTAAATCCCTGCGGTAGGTAGGATAATCCGTTCCAATTAATTTAATTAAAAACAAACAAAAGTCATTACATAAAGTTGGGTTTCGGAGTGTTTCGTATTGAATTACGATCCAATTGCATAAATTTGTAACATCTTTTTAAGTGTATTTTTATAGAATATTATTTAGCAAGAAGCATCTTTTAATGAGATAAATAATCATTCAAATAATATTTTAGGAAAGTAAACTCTAAAGTTAGAATTCCACAATAAAGTTACTTAACAGTTTTTTTACTTAATCTATTCATGGAACTAAAGTTTAATTTAATTACGGTCTAACTTTTTTTTTAACCTTGTGGCAGATATTGGAAAGGCAAAAGCTTTGTCTAAGCTTTTATATCACCACTTGCGTTACAGTATCCATCAGGCAAAGAATTTATTAAAATAGTAGCCTGTGCATAGCCAAATAAATTTCAACATATTGTGTTAAACACATCTGCGATAGCAGATATCACCAAAGGCCTCTTCAGCATTAAGCTCACAAGGTAACTTATAATTTAGTAGGTAGTAGGTAGTTGGTAATTATAAAATGTACCACTTTTCAATTGTTGTTGTCCTGTATCGATACTACTAACTTTATATTAATAAGAAATCAACTTTATAATAAAAATATTAGAATTTAATCATAATCTTTTTTCAACAATGATCACTGAATCGACTCATCTTAATCGAATAGATAACTAATGGTGAATCGATTGGTAGGTCGTTTGTAGCCTTAGAATTACTCATTTAATGATCAATGAAATGGAATCATCATAGTTAAACGGTATATTAGGAATTGGTTAACAATATTCTCGAGAAAACATTACTCCAATGCGTGATACTGAACGATTCAGGAAATAATAAAAAGGTTCTTGATATCCTTATGGTAATTTTTCGGTTATTTATGAAGATCTCCCATCTCCTCCAAAATCTGTACTGATTATTTACAACGCCGGGCATCACATCAATTGCTAGGCCTTGAATCATCACTACGACTCGAATCCAAGACCTAAAGTTATGATTATTTGGATTCACAAAGTTTAACTGTCGTGAACTGTATTATAGACATAATACTGAAGCCGAGCATAAATTAATAAAGTAAATACCTTGTCCCATATTTGTAGTCTGCTACATTACAAGAGCGCCAAAGTAGTGGGCGTTAACCATATGACATTAACAGCGTATAGCCTAGCGTTCAGCAATTTTAATGCCATAATCTGGGTCGTATAAGTACGGCACATCTGATCGCGTGAAAATAAATGCAAATCGTTGGAAACCTTAAATAGATTATATTAAATTCAGCTTTAATTTAATGCTAACAATATTTACTTTTTTCTTTCTATTTTTTTTTTTCTTCACATCTTAATTCTCGTCCTTAATTACTTTTTATTCAGATCTTAATTCTCGTCCTTAATTACTTTTAAATATGCCTACCAATGCAATTAATTTCGCAATTATCTTTTTTCAATATTAGAGACATTATTATAGAAGAAAATCTGTAGTGAATGCTACTGTGTTAAATACTGTAAATTTAAGAAATTAAAATGTTATAAATATAATCTATCAGAAAATATAGTTTAATCAATATGCAATCAATTCTTGGTATCCAAATTAGCGAACAACTTTTGCATATTTTGGAAATATTTATGATCATATATCTGTGAAAGAAATTAATGCTTGTTCGTAATTATTTTTAAGCAAACTTTCATCACAGTTTAATTTTAGGAAGAGATGAACTATTTAAAAACAAAATAAAATGTTTTAATTTATTAAAATAATATTATAATAAAAATATATATAATAAATGTAATAACTCATTAGAATACTTATTAAAATATTAACAGAGGTCTTGAATTGAAAGGTGCGAGGTTTTGTAAACATATCTCACTTTTTTATGTTGTTGTAATAAATGTAATTTAGTAAATAGTGAGGTGATATATTTTTATTACACTTGTAAAACCTAAAAACAAGTAAACAATTAGATCAGTAGAAAGTTGATTTAATAAAAATCGAAGAGTAAACAACATCGCATTGTGTAGCAGCAACAATAAACTCCACAACAGTCCGACAAATTACTTTATGAACTACAGATCTAATTGAATATTCAACTTTATTATAAAACAAAAGTTTTTAACCGTATCACTCCTACAGAGTGTATCTCGCCTAACAGCCTTGAGGCCTGAAGCGTTTTAACATTAATACATTTCAGACAGCTACCTCGCAGGCTATTAGAGACGGAAATTGTTTAACATTGAAGTAAGCTTCCTTGATTTTCGTGCGAGATAAGCGTTTTCCTTTTCGGAGTAAACGCGTCCTTCCAAGCGAAAGTAGCTTGTATAAGTGATACCAATCCTCCTTTATAATGCACTTATGCAATACGAGGGTGGGGATAATCCCGTGATTAAGGTTAACGATTGCTATAACAGTAAATTGATGGACGGTACATTTGGCGCACACCGTAGCGTCGTATTCAAGTTGGATCGCACAGTTAAATAACTACGTGATCTGAATATTAGTCTTATCAAAATGTTATCATAATTTATGGCAAAGTCATGCTTCGGATACTGGAATATAACAGTTACGGTTAGCGTAATTTTTTTTTTTTTTAAAGTCTACTTCATACCTGTAAAAATATTGTGTAACTAATATCCTAACATAAAGGCCCGTTTCTGATAATAATGTAACAAAAAATTCTGTTATGAATTTTTGTGTTTTTCCCTAATTTAGTTAATCGAATAATATAAATCTTCTTACATTATTGTATGTAAAGTAACAATCCCTATAATTATTTTATTCAATGAAAAAAGTCAGTCATAACCAAAAAATCAACAAAACTCGTTGTACATAACGCGCGCCATAAATTTAGAACTCTACAGCGATAATAGCATCACAGTGAACAAATTCGATTGTACAACGAACTTTAATAACATCTAATCTTCAGAATGAAGTGACAGACTGCCACCTGAGACAAGCCACTGCACCCTATAAACCGAACGGACGCCTTCGGCATGCATAAAAATAAAACACATTCACTTATAGAACACGTCACGTGTGACCCATCATAGAGTTCCAATTCCAGTTCCCATGGTAGCACCGGCCTTACGGGTGCTGGGAAACGTTACGAGGTATCGAGACGCGGCCACGAAAACCGGCCGAGGGTTGCGTAGAGCGACGTAGCCTCGTAGCGGCGGCGCGGCGCGTACTGCCCGCCACTCGTACGTCGAACCCCGCCCGCCCTCCGCCCCGCCACCCCTGTCACCGCCATTCCGCCCAAATCCCGACGAGTTCTCATTAATGTTGTTATCGGTGTAAAAGTTACCACAAGTCAAACTAAGAACTTGCAGCTTTAATTAACTGTCTGTAAAATAACAGTAAACAAACGACGGGGATCCAAACTTTGGGCCAACGTTCGTTCGCCCCGTGTTCAAACAATAGCTGATGATTGAAATGTTGTCTAATATTGTTCTCATTCAAAATCACAATGTTCATAGTTCTGTAATTGTAGGTAGCAGTAGTCTACTCTATTCAAACAGGCATAATCGCATATGTATGAGAGCATGCCTTTGCATATATATATAAGAATATTCATAACTCATTCGACGATGGCTGATAAGAGCTGTAAGTATGTAGAATACATACATCGAGTCATTACAGCATTGTTTACGTACTCCAGAGCTTTAATGGGAACAATAAGGCTAAGTGTATAGAGTATACACTGAGTAGACGCACTAGCATTTTTGTCCTATTTTCATCTTCAATTTCCCACTGTAAAAGATGACTGTAGCTTTTACATTTATTGGCTGAAAAGCATGGTGATACGTGTACGTATGTCTAGCGGTGTTTGACCCCGATACATCAAAATGATTCTTCGTAACCTACTTTTCCAAGAATTCAAGTATGACAAACTACCTCGCCGTATCAAATAGCAACCGAAAGGGCGTCAGAAAAATGACAACTGAATTTAATACAGCGTCCTACATCCGGAATCAAGGAGCGTTCGGGGACCCATCGGCGATCAGATCTACAATTGTCACGGGAACCTTTGTATCCTTCCTTTATCATTTCTAATAAAACAAATAGCTTCATCGCGCGTCTATCGATTGGGTGCGAATAGAAATTGCAAGAATTATTGATATAGATGGCGGCTCATACAAAAACTTTATAAAAGGAAGTGGAGCGTACAAACTGGCGGGGAGCAAACTTTTATGCCGGGATGCGACGAGAACGCGAACGTTACTTATCTACCACCGCCGAGCTGACAGCTGCAGATGAAAAATTGAAATTGTGTGAGATAAAACTACCTAACTGCTGCTGCACTGCTGAGCAAACAATGTGGT